CAGTGATTTCATCTATAAGCTTTATGTAGCACAGACTATTGTCAAAACTGTCAAGTTTATTTTGATATTATCTTACACTTCAACCTTTTTTGCTAAAATTAATTTTAAGCATGATTGTGAACCTGATATTAAACAGCTCACGGGGTACAAAAAGTTCTTCTGCACGCACAACATGGCCTTCATGCTAAACAAGCTGCTCATTAGCTACATGGCTTTGATTTTGATCTACGGGATGGCTTGTGTGTACTCTCTCTTCTGGGTGTTTCGACGACCCCTGAAAGAGTACTCATTCGAGAAGGTCCGGGAAGAGAGCAGCTTTAGTGACATTCCTGATGTCAAAAATGACTTTGCATTCCTCTTACACATGGTTGACCAATACGACCAACTCTACTCCAAACGCTTTGGTGTCTTCTTGTCCGAGGTCAGTGAAAACAAGCTGAGGGAGATCAGTCTCAACCACGAGTGGACCTTTGAAAAACTAAGGCAGCTGGTGACCCGTAATGCTCAGGACCAGCAGGAGCTTCACCTTTTCATGCTCTCTGGTCTCCCGAATGCAGTGTTTGACCTCACAGATTTGGAAGTACTGAAACTGGAGCTGATTCCCGAGGTGAGGTTCTCTGCAAAGGTCTCCCAAATGACCAGCCTGCAGGAGCTGCATCTCTGCCACTGTCCGGCCAAAGTAGAGCAGACAGGCTTTGCTTTCCTGCGGGACCATCTCCGCTGCCTTCATGTCAAGTTCACTGACGTCGCCGAGATCCCAACGTGGGTGTATTTGCTGAGGAGTTTGAGGGAGCTTAACTTAATCGGCAACTTGAGCTCAGAAAATAACAAAATGATCGGTCTAGAGTCCATGCGAGATTTGAGGCATTTAAAGACGTTATGCTTGAAGAGCAACCTTACAAAAATGCCCACCAACATCACAGAGCTATCGCCACATTTGATTAAGTTAGTGGTGCACAATGATGGTACAAAACTTATGGTACTAAATAGTCTGAAAAAAATGACAAATCTTATTGAACTGGAGCTGCACAGTTGCGAACTGGAGAGGATTCCCCACGCTATTTTCAGCTTGACCAACTTACAGGAACTTGACCTGAAATCTAACAACATCCGAACCATAGAGGAGATCATCAGCTTCCAGCACCTCAAGAGGCTGACGTGCCTAAAACTGTGGCACAACAAAATTATCACTATACCATCTTCCATCGGCCAGGTCAAGTCTCTGGAGTCTCTCCATGTCTCGCACAATAAACTTGAGACCCTGCCTCCAGCCTTGTTCACACTGCCTAAACTGAGGTACTTGGACGTGGGCCACAACTCCATCACAGTGCTCCCTCCAGATGTGGGTCTTCTGCACAACCTCCAGCACTTAGCCATCAACTCCAACAAGCTGGAGGTGCTGCCCAAGCCTCTCTTCAGATGCACCAAGCTCAAGGTACTGTGTCTGGGCAACAATGCGCTCACCGCGATGCCAGAGGCTCTGGGTCAACTGGTCCAGCTCACTCAGCTGGAGCTGAAAGGAAACTGCCTGGACAGACTGCCTGCCCAGCTAGGAAACTGCCGCCTGCTGCGCAAGAACGGCCTGGTCGTGGAAGACCATCTCTTTGACGCACTGCCTGTGGAAGTTAAGGAGAGCATAAGCCAAGAGAACAACGCGCCCTTTACGAGTGGCTTATAGCACAAAAACCACAACTTGGATAGGCTGACACCTCTGGTGGTTCGTAACAAGCCTGTGTAATGGATGTAAGAGTAGACTTTTTATTATTGTAATATCCACAAAAAATGAATGCATTTTCTTGATTTATTTTAATGGGCTGTCTTAGCTGCTTATGTAATTATAAATGGTACAGGTTGCTTTTCTTGTTGCTGAGTATGTATACAATTCAGCAACATTTTGGGATTTAGCTTTTTCACAGCTTTGAGTAATAAAACATTAGAAATTTAGCTTCTCTATGTTATACTCTATAGACCAAAACTGTTTCCTTCAATGACACAGTATGTAGTTTTGTCATTACTGTTTTTAGGTACTCAGGTATAATTGTAACCATGGGGAACAATCTTTTTGCCTTAACTGCTGCTATTTTTTTACAGTGAGGGCTTTCACGAACAAAAGGCCAAAAATGAATATTTCACGTTTTCACGTAAGCTTTTCATACAGACATGTCCAGAGAGCAATTTCTGTTTGTTATGGAAGAGGACACATTGCAACTCTTCTTTCTTTTTTTTTTGTTTTTAACTTTTGTTGAAATTATTTAACCTTTATTTTCCTTGATGTCTTGTAGCCGACAGAATGAGTTAGAGTTGTAAAACTCAGGTGGAGACTAAGCACCAGAAATGAACCTTTACCTTACTGTTGTAGAGATTGTATACTAAGGCCTATAGTAATTCATTTGCACATGCACAAACTTAATGATTTAAAGATTGGTGAATGTCCTTTGTGATAACAAGTCATAAGGCCAACGTGAGCCGATAAAAGGGAAATCTGTTGACTTATCTTTTTTTAATCATGCTTTAAAATTTGAAATGTGTAATAAATCTGGTCACAGGTAGGACTGATTATTCTACATGTTAGAACTGTGTAATGACGACAAACATGTCTGCCTTCATTCTTCTCAATGTATTTCTGTGTAGGCCTATATTATATATATATATATGTGTGTGTGTGTGTGTGTGTGCTCTTCAGAGCTGCTGTAACATCTTGGTGATCCTACGCTCAAAGTTCACAACTTTATGGCACAATAAAACAAGGTTTTAGATGAATGTCTAATCATTATTCATTTACTTCTTGTACTCCACTGAACACTGTGGCTCTCAGGGTGCTGTAAATGAAATAGACACAAATTACTCTATTTTTAATGTTAAACTGGGTAGGCAGATCTCTTACATTTAAACTATATAGTTTTACATTAATTTTGGGCAGTTTAGACTTGATTTTTTAATTTTATAAGATTCGAATTATGCCCCCAGCTGGAAGCTGAAGAAATGTCACGCCCCTCCACCTACACAGAAATTTATTTTTATCAACTGTAACAAAAGGAGCAATCTTAAATCTTTTTATTGAAGTAACATTATCATGAACAGGAACTGATTGTTTCTCACTAGTTACACTTCATTTCTCAGAGATTTTACACGAGAGACATGAGCTCTCCTGTTAAATAGCTTTTCTCTCACAAATCTTGAGCAGACATCACAACACTTCAGATTCACAGGCCGTATTTACAGCACACATTTGGACTCGTCGAAGCAGGAAACACAGGTGGAGCTAATAACATTAATGATGCCTCTGTCATAGCAATTATTACAATGAAGCAATTAATTATCTTATTGGTTACACCTGTGTTTGATAAGTAACCAATGAGGGTGGATGATTTTAGACACAGATCACCATCAGACTAACAGGGCGGCTTCTTTCCTGAGACAGACTCCTCAATTCATCCTCCACACTCTGTGTGTCTGTCTGTATATACATTATATTTATGTATATATACGTGTATTTCATTGTACAACTCTGTGTTGTGGAATGTTCAGAAATGAACCTTGAAATTGTCTCTCACGAAAAAAGGAACTTTTCCACAAGTTTGTTTCCTGTCTACATATAAGAGTTTTATTTCATGTCCCCCTCTGCGGCTCTCTACAAAGACCCCTGAACCAAGAACCTTTTGTCCATGTTATCAAAAGACAGATTCACACAGAGTGGGATGATCCCAAACATTTACAGGTTGTACAACCTGAAGACAATCAGTCCACATAATGTTTCCAGATCACTGATAGTTAAGAAGATGTCGGCTTTGTCTTGACATTTTTTGTGGTTTATGAGACTTAACCCACATAATCCATAATCTTTTTCACCAGATGTCTAATGTTAATATGATAAAGATGGATGTCTTCTGTTCATCCATCCATATGATCCTACAGAAGATATTTCTGCCAACATTTTAATTCCCATCAGGCCATTGAGTTTTCCAGGACATGGGTTGGCTTTTACAGGGAACATGATGCAGACCAGTAACATTGTTAGTGTGAGCCAGTGAGTCCTGTTGAGGGTTGAACAATCGGTTCACTGTGTAGATCTTGACCGTCTCATAGAGGTCATGTGTGTTATGCATGTATGTGACCTTCTGTTCAGCAGTCTAATTGATGGCCTTGCAGTAATATTCGGAATAACTCAGCTTTTCTTAGAATTTCCATCATGATGTAAATGTCCTTGAGATATCCTATCCTGGTTTTAAAGGCGTCAGCACAAACTGTCTGTTTACATTCATACACTTTATTTAGACTAATTCACCTTTACATAAGGACTATTGTTTTTTCACTGATCTCAACAGAAGGGTGCACATTTTGCCCATTGTGAAGTCACTATACACCGTACTATAGTATAACTGAGCATGTATGACACTATTTATATTATTTACTAAGTTTAGTGTCAGCAAAAAAAATCAGGATTAATGTAACTTTGCTGTTATACTTGGCCAGATTAACCCACTAATTTGGTGCTGTGCAGGCTGAACATTTTCACACAGGTTGGCAAAATAGGTTATAAAACAGGACCCTTTGCAATTAATACATTTAACAAACCAGCCTTCATCTGGGTAAATCTGATGGTTTATATGGGTCAACTGGTTTGCTACACACTACTAAGGGTCCTGCTTTATTACCTAAACTTAAGGCTCTGAGTGTCAGTGTCGAAGAAATGGACAGTACATGTTCAGTGTAGAAAAACTGCAAACAGTGCACAAAGGAAGAGTGAGGTAAATTGGGTTTATTATAGGCCCAGCAGCTAATTCTGTCCCTTTGACAGGTTCATCCAACCCTGCCTGTAGTATGCAGCTATTAATTTAACTCTGACACTTCAGTTACTAACAACTAAAGCATATCCAATGTGAATAAATCCATCTGACACCCCTATCAATGGCATTTAATTGACACCTCTGGAGCAGCATCCATCATGTGTAGCAGTGTGCTGCCCTCTGTCGGGGCTGTCAGTATCTGTGAACCAGCTCTGTGTCGGTGAACTAGCTTCACTCCTCACACAGGCTTCCTTACGTGCTCTGTAAAACAACCAAACAATGAACCGACAGAATAATGTTCCGTTCAGCCCTCCAGCGGCCCTCCGAGGAGCAGCCGCCGGGTTCGGACCCCCGCAGCCCGGCAGGTACCATCCGCTCAGAGCCTGTGTGGTCTCTGCATGAAGCTAATGTCTGTTCAACGATTATTTATGTGAGAAAGTTTCAACACCGTCGAGAAAAGTGGCTGTCGGATGAGTTTCTAACACTGTTTTAATGTTTGTTTATACTGAGGGTATACACATGTCATTAGACTGACCGCTAACTCAAATATTATTATCAATGAACTCTACGGCTATGTAAGTTAGCTGTGTATGCTATCTAAAGCTAGTAGCAGACACAGCTAAGTTTGGTTGCTTGGTTTGTTAGCATTGGTAAAACACTTTGCCCTGCTCCTTCCATGCTCACCAGATAGTGTTGTATGAGTTGTAAGTACTTGCCTTGTCGCATTGCGACCATTTTTGTATGTTTTTGTGATAAACAGAATACCTGAAGACTTTAGAGAAGCTATGAAACACATCTCAGTGAAACCAGCAGACAACTCAAACATCAGGTCCTCTGACATATCTGCGAAGACCCCACCGGCCCGGAGAGGTGAACACATTGAAGCACACAACATTCCCAGACACTGCCATACCAGTGGTTTGATATCTTTTACTTCAAATTCCTCTAACATCACAACAAATGCTGCTGCATTGTGTTTACTGTTGAAGGGATTCCCTGATTTTATTCATTTCTGTATGATGTGAAAGCCTTTTTGCAAGTCAAGTTTATTCAAAGTGCTGTAAAGATTAAAGTACACAGCAAAATTACATCAAAATAGTAGTAATAGGCACATTAACAAGACTATTAATAGAGCAACCAAAGCTGTCAACACAAAGGCACAATTTCCAGTACCCACTATCCTCCATCAGCTGTTGAAAACAATTGTTCGGAGGATCTGAGAGGCCTAGAGTTGGAGTTGTTTGCAGAGAAGGTCTGAGATGTACAGGGGTGCTGGCCTATGTATTGGTTTAAAAACAAATAAAAGAACCTTAAAATCCATCAATTGCAGACAGTAATTCAACGCTGTTATCTTTTTCCATATTTTTGTTATTAGAGACTTAACAGGAGGAGAGATGGGAGTGACATGCAAATAATTTCCCCACCTCGACTCAAACCAGGGACATTGGAGTTTCATGAGTCTGCTGACTTTAATACTATACAGAAATCAATGGAAACCGTCTCTGCTGTTGTCTCTGTGTCCCTTTTTTTGGGTCATAATTGTGGATTATTGTGTTGATTATTGTCTTAGTCAACAGAAATCAACCAAACACAACTTGGTTCAGGTCATTGTTAATAGATGTAACTGTAGATCACAGATCTGACTGCATCTAGTATTTCCATATAAATGGTCTTTGTTGTTATTCTGTTAACTTTTGTAATATACAGTGCAATCTTCTGCTCCTAAATGGAGGTCTTCATTCAAACCAGTAGGAGATCAAGATGACAGCTCTCAGGACAGGAGCACCAGCAGTCCAGAAAGGTAATCCCATAGTCAAGATCCAGGATGTCCCTCATTCTAGCCTTTAACTTTGTCTTCTGGTGACTTAATATGTTGAAATATGGGCTGTCTGAAGGTGACCTCATTATGTATTATTCCAGTTGGACCTTGTGAGGCTGTAAGTGATTAAACAAATAGACACATTTCACTAAATGTTAAAGCTTCTAATTAGTTTTATCTCATTCCAGAAAATGTCTTTTGTTCTTTTTTCCCAACAGTTCATGTAGTGTGCTAGCACATTTATAGTGTGTGTGTCAACATTCAGTGGTTAATGGTATCATGTCCTAACAGATGATCTGATAATAGTAAACTGCATGTAACACACTAATCCCACTTCCGTTGCTCTCAGGGTCGAGCTTTATAATCCTTACGATCCCGCCTCGTCAGACTCTGAGCACGAGATACCACAGCGCCAAGATCACAACCATTCCCCACCCGATCAGGATAACAACTTGGGACGCCAGCGCTTGTCTCCAAGTAAGGGCTGCCATAACACAAGCCACTGGGACATACCCTACTCTGAGCCAGAGAGCCTACCCCTCGACAGGCATGACTTCAGCCATGAAACCAGACCCACCGAGAGTCGAGGTCTCAGTCCAGGTCATAGGCTGCCTGAGCGACGGGCTTATAGCCCAGACACTGAATCACTTGACCCACCGGGTTATGGCTCCATGAGTAGACCTCTGGACCACAGGGTCTGCAGCCCTGACAGACTTATTCAAGGCTCCTCCAACCAGCGGTTTTCTGCACCTTATGGAGGACAGAGGACCAACGGGGAGGAGAGGATAACCATCTCAGAATACAGGAGAGAGGTATCATCAATAAGACAGTTGTCAAGTGTGTTTTCTGAAGGTAAATATTTATGCAGTTGTGTACCCTAACCCTTTAAACAGGATACAGGATCTGTTTGTTGTACTTAGACTTTAATTAAACTATCAATGTTTCCTTTGTATGTGCAGTGATGACATTGTGATACATGGTACCAATTAGAGCCATTTCTCTCCTCTGTAGATGACCACTACTGTTAGACTATCTCCACCCAGGTTACAGCAGGACTATCAACATCAGTTGGGGTACGTGGAAAGGGGTAAGTTGGCGTTTTTTAATGAAGTAAATGAAGCAGCTTGCTGTTTTTGTCCCACCATTCCAAATAAATATGAAAATTTAAAAAGGAAACATGATTGCATGGATACAATTTTTTAAATCGGCATCTTGACAGTATTTAATTGTTGAGTGAGTAAAGCAGTACTTATGTATGTGTGTATATATATATATATATATATATGTTATAATAATTTTGTGTATAATGTCTTTCAGGACTTGATGAAATCACACCTTCCACAGAAGTGACAAGAAACAGGAGCCAAAATATAATAATGGAGAAGTAAGACCCAAGGATACGGATGTCGAATTGTTTAAAGATGCTGCATATCCATATCACATTCATTCATTTTGATAGCTGAGTAAAATTGAGGACTGTTGGTAGTTCTGCATTAATGTCTTATTTTTTTCTTTTAGGAACCCCATCACCTGTGACCTTTGTGATGTTGAGCTAGCCAATGGTCAGGAGCTGCAGGATCACTTGGAGAGCAAGACTCACTGGGACACCCTGGAGCACATCCAACAGGAGAATAATTACGACGATCTGGCTATAGCTTTTCTACAGGTAAGATAATACATAGTATGGTTAAATACTGTACATCCTATTGACAGTTTCTGGGTTGAATCCCTTTTTTCAATCTTTAATAAATCATAGAAACAAATGTTGGCTTGTTGGTCGGTCTGGATGGTGACAGACATTTTCATTTTTACAGGAAGTCATGCTGTATAAAAGTCGTCAGTGCAGCCGAGCCATAGAGGATAGTGTACTTCAAGGTGAATAACTTTCAATTGTCAACAACTGTAAAAGACATCCACTATCTTACTACAGTAATACAGTCTGACCTTTGTTTTGTCAGCTCTGCAGGAAAATGACCACATGACAAAGATTGAAATGTTCCACTGTGCAGCTTGCAACGTCTACTTATACACATCTGCATCCTCAGTGCAGACTCACATTACCTCTCAGGAACACCTCTCCAACACAAAGGTAACACTGCTGTATAGTAGTATAACATTATTGATGGGATTTTGGTAATTAGATCTCTGTTGTCAGTATTTGTAAATGTAACAGCTGGCCCTAGATGGAATAAGCTCAAGTGTTGATGATGATTGAATGATTGATTTCCTGAAGGAGTTTGAAGTGCGGCAGAGACGTACTTGCCTCAACAAAGCAGAAACCATGATGAAGGAGCTGAAACCTCAGTTTGAACACTTCCTGCAGGTATTTTGCAAGAGTGAACATTTCAAAAGTATTCGAACACAACTAATGGCATCATGGAAAACATGTTTATAAGAACAGAGTAAATCAAAACACAGGGAGGAACTTTCTTAATAAATATTCCCTTGAATGATTAATTTGGGCACCTTATTTGGTTCCCTCTTAAGTAATATTTCAAGAATTACATAATTAACTTCTTCTTCTTATAAGTCGATATAATACCGATTTTAGAGGGGAAGAATTCACTGATTACCGGGAACAGTTTTCATATTGGCTCATATAGGATGACATATACACCAATACAATACAAATATGTCTGCGACAGGCCATTATCAATATATTGGTCGGGCTCTAATCAATTGGATCTGTTTACTAATGCAAATAAAAATCTATTCCAAATGGGGGAGGTTGGGTTTGTAGCCAATGGCCAGTCACATGCAGCATTAACACATCTTCTTAACGGATACTTCTTATATGTCACCAACGCAAAAATATAACAATGTAAGTACACAATCTGATAATAACTAGTAAAACATAATCAATAATCAAATATTATTAGGTAATTCACTACTGTCAACATTTTCAACACAAATTGTTTTGTTGTGTGGATAAGGAAAGCAAACATCAACCATTTGTGCTCTTGTGTCTCAAGAGGAACAGACTGTTGTATGAAGTGAAACATTATAACAGGTTAAAGTAACACGGTACATCTTAAGTAAGGTGAGATTGCATTTCTTCCTCTATTCTATGTGGTTATTACATTGAATACAGAGGACAGCAAACAACTCTTTCCAAATCTACCAAAAATGTATTAAAGTAAAACATATTGTATGGATTAACTCAATGAATGCATTTGTCTATCTTATTAGTAGCACCAGCAAATAGCAGCCTGCAAGGCTACTAGTAATTACTGTGAAGATTGAGCTCTACAGGTGCAGCTTTAAGACTCCTTCTTTTCTTCCAGGGTGGCAGCCCATTTGAATGACGGAAATCACCAAAAGTCTCCAAAATACTGTTTACACTGAGATGGCTTTCGCTTCAGATGAAGAACTATGGATTTAATACCACTTAAATCACAACTACACATAAATGCTGTGGCACCACTCATACAGCATTTTGCTAACATACTGTTAATTTGCCTGAATAAATGGAGACATCTTGAGTCAATATTGATTTTCTTGTATCTTTGTTCATGTATGGTTCATCATATCCCATTCCGTCCATATTGACGTTAGCTACAGTACTCCCAGGTCATCAGTCACTTTAAGAACATAAAGTTTGTATGTTTTTCACATTTACAGATCAGGTGATTTGTGTGCAAAAATAATTGAAAAAGTCAACTTGTTTTCTTAGTTTTTTTATTTAGAACAACACAAATGTTTTAAGCATTGTATCTGTGATATAGTACATTTAAAATTAAATTATTTCAAAACAGTATATTTAAACATTAAATATAGGTGACATGTATGAAGGGCATTGTCAGCACTGGCTGTGCTTGTTAGGTTTTTTTTTTTTTCTTAACCACCTTCAGTTTTAATTTTGTATTTGTATTAGAAACAATGCTGAAATACTATAAAACACTTTCTATGCATAACAAGTTTCTGGACATTTTTCTTTTTGTTCTCGTATAGTCGCTCACTTTTCCACTTGTGATTCTTGGAGTTGTTTGTCATGATCTTTCAGGTGCAGCCACTTTCAGTCAAAATATTCTTCTCACTAACTCTGGCCAGAAAGCGAGAGACTGTGGGCTTGGACTGGAACATGTTGCAATACAAAATAAACATGATTCTATGTATTTTGGAAATGTGAATATTGATACAGAAGAGAGGTGCTCCCAAATTTTGACAAAAACGGACTCAAACCATGAGAAATCTGAGGTAAAAGTTGTCTTCATTAGAAATGGATTCCACACTACATTACTGCATAAAACAAGAAAAAACAGTCTGTCCATTTTGAATTGAATTCCAAAACATGGACCATGTAAAAACAGAAAAAGGTAACAATATCCAAAATAATTAATTTTTTAATCTGTCCAAATGTCCAAACATGTACAATATCCATCATTGAGCAATATTGTACTTTGGCCAGTATTTCATTGACTAAAAAAAAGTGAAAGAACATCCAATGTACATACACATACAGTCTAGTGAAATCTAAAAAGGTCCCCATTGGCTTCATGAGGCAGCATGTGTGGCTGTCAGAGAGCTGTCTTGGTCAGTCTTGAGGGTCGTGGGCAGCGAGGTGACCTCTACCATGCTTAGCCCAGTGTGAGGGACACTAGTGTTCATAATGTGTCTCTGTAAATGTTTAATCCAGTCCTCCTGGACCGACAAGGGACCCTGGAAGACGAGGTCACAGAACCTGTGAAGAGAAGAGGAGACTGATGGTAATATTTGACACACATTGTTTTTGAGCCATGCTAACATTATGTCTACAGATAAAAATGTGGGTCTGCCAGATGTTCCACCACTTTGACTAAAGTTATTGGATTCCATTGAATTTTGTACAGACATGAATTGGAATTTTTACTTGGGTTTATGATTGAATATCTGAAAAACTAATGACATTTCCAACAGATTCAGCTATATTTTGTTTAGTGCTGATTAGCAAATGTTAGTATGCCAACACTAAACTGAGATGGTGAACATTACACATGCTGACGTTAGCATTTAGCACTGCTAAGTTCCACCTCACAGAGCTGCTAGGATGTAGAGTTTTGGTCTTTGAGAGTAAGTGCACGTCAGATTTTGTTGTAATAAGAAGACTGACTGACTAGGGTTTTGTGAGAACATGATAAATGCAGTTCATGAGCATGTACTGTGTTCATACTGAAAACTGTTTCTTGTCCACTTGCTATAACAGTCTCTTTAGATTTAGTTGTTAGAGAGTGCTGCAGGAATGAGTCCTAAAACCTGGAAACTTGGAGTTAGCGTTTTTGCACCCACCTTCAATTCAATATGATTTTTGAATGGGTTTCAAGTGGCTAAGTGGTCGGTGACATTAAACATCAGCACACTGACTTATCTACTCACTAGTCCGCCTCTACAGCCTTGATGTGTTTATACTAGCGCTATTGCAAACTATTTTCAACTTGTAGTTTTTAATTACACAATTTAATTACAAGTTGGAAGTTTAGTGGTGGTTCACATGAAGTCATGCAACTGTGGTGTAGTTTGTTTATATGGAAAAATCCCATTGATTTTTGATTAACCTACAAAAATACGTCATCCCTGCAGCACACTTGTTTCACCATTTTTGGAGTACAAGAGACATTTGACAGTGGTCCATATGCAAGTGCTCAGGGCAACAATCACTGCTAAAAGTCTGTTGAACTGCAGATGCAATATTATCCATCCTTTAGAAAGAGTATAATAAGCATATTATAAAAGAAAATACAAACATTACCTGCAGGTGAGTCTGTACATTTCCTCTGGAGTTTGTGGTAAGGGCAGTGTCTTCTTCTTTGAGCCAGGCCTTGAGCGTTGCCTCCTTGCTTTACAGTCAAATGCTGGAAGACAGAAATTACTTCATTCATTTACAGAACTACCATTGAGATTGCAGCACAGTCTTGCTAATTTAACATTTTAAAATGGACAAAGCCTATGATGAGCTCTGGAAAGTTTGGATGTTGTTTAGAGATGTTCATTCTGTTAGTTCAGTGAACCAGTCAGTCTGGACATCATTAGCCCTTGCTTCATTCAAACTCATGTTTTGGCCATGTGCCACTGAGGTGAACAATCTGGCTTTTGGTCTCATCGCCTTAGCCAATCCAGCGTGGCCAAGAAACACGACGCCCAAGATATAAGTGTGATGATCTGTGCCTGCAGGAAAACTAGGCCCTGAAGGCTTCCTGTGATGAAGAGGTTGTTCCTCCCACAGATGCACCCACCCAGCTCCACAATTAAAATCTTTGCAATATCTCACTTCCTGATGCCCTTCTAGATCCTTACCTTGGGGAGGATACAAATAACCACTGGTATGCTAATTATAGATATGATTTGGACGTCACAACCTCTTGTGGTATCCAGCCACACAGACAGTTTTGGCTTTATCTGGTAAGGTTTTGAGATATCAGTGTGAGATTTATGCTGCCATACCCACACAGTGGAGGTGAATGGATTTCAAAAACTGCTGTGAACAGCAGAAGAAACAGTGAACGGGTTACTCAGGTACAATTAGGGAGGCAGAATTTACATCCTGCATGCCTGATCAGATCTATAGTTTTTGGTCATAAGATGGAGCAAATTAGGTAACGGTGGAAGAGGAATGTGGTTTGTCCTGAGTAACTAAGATATTATTTTTTTGACACATTACTGTTGAGCAGCACGAGTATATAATATCTGACAAAAAACAACACACATATCCCATTCTAAGTATATCCTGAAGAGCAAGAAGTATCAACTAGTACTTGTAGCTAGTGCAGCAACAAGGTTGGGAACCTTAACTGGTTCCCCACCTCCCAAATACTGCAGATTGTGTTCACTGAAATACGCAACCAAGCCAGAGAGACCACAACTGTCAGGTCTGTGGTTGTGAACAAGAACTTTTACTTCTGCACAACAAACTGGTAGTTTTAATTTGCTGAGCAATGGTTACCCCTTCATGCAGGCCCAAAGTGTTCAGAAATAAATGTGTTTTAATTAGCTAAAACTAATTAATCAATTAAACCACTGCTTGTAGGAGAATATATTCCACAGACTGTGTCTTTTGTGCCTGACTTAAGCTGCTGCTGATGGCACTTACTGGTTCCATCAAGTAAGGCAGTCCTTTTTCGTTTTGCATATGCCCGGAGGTGATTAGACAAGCTAACTCCACTGTGGAAGGTTGCATTGCAATGGACGCACACCTTCCTATTGAATTCACCTTTCTCTGTAAAAAGACAAAGAATACAAAGACAAACAAATAAGTGAAAACAAAATATTGTGAAGCTTATTTGTTAGTGGTGCTGAGGAGTTGTATGACTGGACCTAATAACAACAGGTCCTCACATTCTTTTGTGTAGCAAGTTTATAATGCCTGCAGTGCAACCTTTTCACTTTTTTAAAGGCAAATCACAGGATGCTGAATATGGTTTATGATGCCCAATGATATTACATAATATATATATAATATAATTTCAGTTCTTAGCAGTAAAGGAAGAGTGCGCTACATCTCTGAACCAAATTCTATTATTAAATTGACAATACAGACAAAAGTCTACATTATGAATTAGGATAGCAAAAATACACAAAAATCGCACTACAGCCTCAGGTTATCATTTCATTTCTTGTGCTGTCACATTTCAGCAAACAAGCCTTTGTCAGAAAATTCCCACTGTCAAAATCACAAAAATGTATTGGAACATGTTCTGTCTCTGTTTTATCTTACAAAGTCTATAGACACTTTTAATGCAATCAAGGTTATAAAACAAGACAGAAGAATGTGAATCTTCTACATTATTATGTGCAACATGCTCCGTTGTTTTGGTTAAATAATCTAAAGGTTATCTGGCAATATCATTCTACGCCTTTATGCTGATGACACCTCTCTTCTACATCACATAAGATCTGATGTTTAGTGCTCAGATATCTGCTTAAAAACAACAGCTCTAGATGTTAATGTCTTAATGTGAAGTCTCACACACACACACACACACACAGTTTTGATTTTTCGGATTATGGGATTCTTAGTAAGTAGTAGTAAGCAGTAAGTAATCCAGTACAATTACTAATTGTCTAATGTAGTCAGTAACCTAATACAAGTATCACAATATTGAAGTAACATACCTTGATTACTTTCCATTACTCTTGGATTACCTCAATACCAAATATGCAAATACATTTTCACAACTGGAAGGCAAAACTTCCACTGTAGGTGTAATGCTGTTTTCTTTTCAGCTTTAAAGACAAAATAATGGTGAAATTTTCACCCAAAGAAAGCCTTCTTCACTACAGGCCATGATAATGACCTGTAAAATGT